GGCAATTGTCGGCTCTGCACATAAGCGCGTTGAACATGCGTGATGTCGGAGTGTTGCACCACCAATAAGAGGTCTCTGTCGACCCTCGTCCAATCTCCCCCTTTTGCCCTGCTCCTGGACTGCAAGCCACCCCACCCCCTCACTTGTCGCTTTGGTTTTCTATGTCTTGTCTTCTATGTGTCCTTGCAGTGTGCACAAGGTACCGAGAACAGCTTAGAGTGAGTGTAGTTCCAGGTCTCGCTTTTTGCGGCTGATATCTTGACGCAAAGGGTTTGCACATTCTCTTCTCGACCGCTTGAGCATTGATATTGCATGCATACCAAAGTCAAGGTCAAGACACAGCGCAACAATGAGCGGATACATTCACGGTAAGTTGATTAACAAATTGTTCTCATGGCCATGCTCCTCTGCAACCTCGGACGCTGACCATCATGTGCATAGCGGGAGTCGCACTCGTTAGGACACAGTCAAAGCACTCGGTAACATCAGACCCTCCATCCGATGGCAGTGTTTGATAAGACTCAAGAGCAATGTGCAGGTCTGGGTGGCAGGAGAGTTGGCACGGGTGTGTTGGCAATGACAGCAGCGGACATTCCGGATGCGGTCTTAGAGACATGGGACTGGAGCTCCAAGATGAGGTATGTACCTGGGGGGCTCAGTACAGAAAGTGACCAATCGAGCTTGGGCACACAGCGGAAGGGAGGAATGCATGCCCTCACCTTGTTTTCCGGCAGAACACAAACCAGGACACGCACATTGCCGGTGCAGCCACCGGCTGAAGACATCTGCCGGCAGAGGACTTGTGCTCATAGACTCGCTGGCGAGATGTGCAGCGCACCCTGTACAATGACATGCCTGCATTCTCTGCATGGCACAGGTGCGTTTCTCATGTTCACATATTGCCCTCAACTTGTCCAGGCTTGCTTGGGCCATCCACTCACCTTGTTCACCGATGGGAGATAGACTCTGGCGCGCACACAAGCAGAGCCCGGCTTCTGACCCCTTTCGAGCAACACATCGGGGACTGCCTGCGTACGGAAACCAAGGGACCCACCAGATACAGTGCTGTACTTGACAGACCATTATCGCCGGCGGGATTGCACCGCCGGCGAGCAAGGTTGCTCGCAAGCGGCCCATGCTCCGGAGTCCTCAGCCCGTGACCGGCCCCACTCTGATTACCTTTGGAAGCACATCGGTCGCGGTAAGTCTTGTTGGGCTGTGACGATCGCACTGTGTGTGCTCACTATTGCAAATTCAGGGTGGCACCGTGTCCGTCATGGCAAGCTCATTATCCTCCTCCGAGGATGACTTCCGTTCATGCCACAGTCCCAGACATCGGGCGGAGTGCCAGCCAAGGCTGATGCGGCCGTAGCCGAGGTACTGTGTTGCATCTCCTTGATGTACAATGCGCGCGCGACTAATTGAACTGAGACTGACAGACAAACGGGATGACATCCTTTCTGTGCAGCAAATGTAAGACGCAGTATGCCTCGCAGGAGCTGTTGCAGCAGCACTTCAACCAGTTGACCATGCACCATACCAGCAAGACGTGCGGGATGGGGCTCGAGACGGCGGCTTGTTGGGCCACGGTCAGTCGGAAAGCGCCATGCCACGTTTCATACTTTCTCAGCTTGACTTTTCCACAGCGCAGGGGCAGATGCCGGCCTCAAAGCGAATGCGCCGTCTGGGCAACTAACCGTAAGTAAGCATCGACTTGTCTAAGTTGCCACTCAGCCTGATTACATGGTAATAAATCGGATGGCCCCATCGCTATCGTGGTCAAACCACCCCAGCTTGGACGCCGCAGGCAGACCGCGCAACCAGCCCATGGAACCACGCAGCGAGCTGGGAGCACCAGAGGCCAATCCATCCCATCGGCTTCATGCACGATTGCCGGCGCCTCATCCTGCCATCCGCGACGCTGAACGTCACTGTTGATGAGATCGTCGAGGTCGACAAGATCGTGCTCCGTGAGCAGCTCTTGAAGGATCTCGATGTGGAGCTGGAGGACGACAATCTCACTCTGGAAGATGTCCGTTAGCTCGTTGGCCACGCCGACGCGATGATGCCTGATGCTGCCATCAGAGGACGGTAGACGTCCGGTGTAAACGGGGGGTGCTTCGCGAGATGCTCCTTGTATTGCCATCTGAGCGGAACCTGCAGTGCTTCCGTATCGACGTCGCAGGCCAATACCCCGATTTCGGTTTTGCGGTCAACCGCATCCTCGGGGCCTTCAGCCAGCAGCCCTGCGAGTTTCTACACGCTCGCCCTGTCTAGTCGCTCTGTGTCGAATTACGGTATGTCCGCGGGGCAGGTACGCAATGGCTCCGTGAGCGCCATCGCATTCGGAGACGTGCTGAAAGTGGTGTCTGTTCAGTCCTCGGCCTGCACGCATGCGGCATACAGTGGGTTTCCTGCGGTCTGAGGGTGCTGGAGGTGGCGGGTTGAGGCTCGTGAGGCTGCTGAGCTTGTGTCAGACGAGGTTTCAGATCGTATACCACAGGTAGCACAAGCAGACAATGCAGGGGCACGTCAGTCGCAGTGGTGAGGTCGTGGTACAGAGCGGAGAGGCGAGACGTGACTCGCGTTTACGGGGGCAGAATAGACGCCCCGACAACACGGTGCTCGTGCGAGCTCTCTGTGCGGGACTCTTGAGTGCGTTTCTGTGTCTCTGTCTCAAGAAATGGTCCGTCCTCGCGCAAGCCCTCTGCAGGGTGCTGTGATCTCCTCGCTCTCTCTGAATCTGCCTCTATCTCTGCTTGTACCGCTGCCCCTCTACTCAGCGAGTATCCAGCTCTACTACATTACATACCACTCTGATACAGTACATACCATAGTGTCTAACACAACGATTATCAACGGCCCTTTTTCGAGCCTTGGCCGTCGCTCGGCTGCCACTCACACGAGGCTACCAAACACCGCGTCTCTGGGAGTCTTTTTGGAGAGCCTCCGGACTGGTAGCGTCCCTTCCCAGCGTCTACGAGTCGACGGCCGCCAAGTTGATCGGCGGATTTTTCTCACGGGCCACCGCCGCCATGTTCCTCTGCAACCTCGGGCGTCGACCGCCTCTCGCACGGCAGAGTCGCAAGCATCAAGACGCATGAAATAATCAAGCTCCGGGTCCTGGTCGTGTTCGTGCTTCGGTATCATCTCTAACTTCCTGCGACTTCTCGTATTCTCACCGGCTCTGACTCCATTGCGCCCTCTCGTTCACGCTCGAATCCCCAATCTCGCCGGTGTTCACATGACTCACATTCTGCAACGGTGGGGAATCCAAACCAAATGACTAGCACTCGCGTGCACATATCA